CTATGACCTTTGGACCAAAGCTGAAGAAGCTTCTTGGATGAGAAGGGAAATGTCTTCAAAGAAAACCCCCAAAAGCCCAGTTGACTCTTGAAAAAAGCACCTTTGGGTCAACCATGACCTGGATGACCAAGAACCTCCGTAGACATTTAGCTATGACCTTTGGACCAAAGCTGAAGAAGCTTCTTGGATGAGAAGGGAAATGTCTTCAAAGAAAACCCCCAAAAGCCCAGTTGACTCTTGAAAAAAGCACCTTTGGGTCAACCATGACCTGGATGACCAAGAACCTCCGTAGACATTTAGCTATGACCTTTGGACCAAAGCTGAAGAAGCTTCTTGGATGAGAAGGGAAATGTCTTCAAAGAAAACCCCCAAAAGCCCAGTTGACTCTTGAAAAAAGCACCTTTGGGTCAACCATGACCTGGATGACCAAGAACCTCCGTAGACATTTAGCTATGACCTTTGGACCAAAGCTGAAGAAACTTCTTGGATGAGAAGGGAAATGTCTTCAAAGAAAACCCCCAAAAGCCCAGTTGACTCTTGAAAAAAGCACCTTTGGGACAACCATGACCTGGATGACCAAGAACCTCCATAGACATTTAGCTCCTACGCTTGGGCTTCATCCCAAAGCAACGGGATCGTAGGATGAAGCTGGCCTCCACCATTTTGGACGTTGCCTCTTTTCTTGTCTTTTCAATAACAGTTTTTGGACTGGATCTTAGGAAGAAGATAAATGCCAGAACAAAGGGAAATTAAGAGCCTTTTCTAGCTTGGTCTGTCTCTGCCAAAGCAATGTGAGAAAGATGCTCCCTCCTTTTTGTTGTTTCTCTTAATGACTCATAGAGTCCTCATTGTCTTTTTTTTAAATTTTTTGGTGCAAGAAGCCAGCAATTAATCTCTCTTTAAACCTTGCTGTGTGTTTGTGGGGGAAAAGAAAGGCATAGGGTGTCCCTGCCTTCACAATCAAGCGTGCTTTGAGACTGGAGGATGGTGGAATAGGAAACAAAACAGAAAAATTCAAAATCGGTATGATTAACTATTGTGGATAAAGTGAGTGCAGAAGGAACACATTGGACATTCGGGGATTCAACATCCATCCACACTGCTGCTACCATTCATTTTTCTCATTCACTGAATCATGAATGCATAATCATTTTTTTTCCCCCTAAGCTACCCACAGTCCAAGATTCTGACGCAGGTTTGGGCTCTCCATGAATGACCAACGTTGGAGGACCCCACTGCTTAGATCTGCTGGTTTTCCCAGCCAGTTTTCTCAATCATATTAGATTGTCTTCTTTCTGGGTAGAGAACTGGAGTCCAAGGAGGCTAATATTCCATTCTTACCTGTGGCTCGCAGATGGGTGTCTCCTTAATTGCGCAACGTTGGAGCTGTGTGGTCCTACAAGCTTCCATGTTGGGAGATCTACATGGAGGTGGGCAACTTTTTCAAGGTTGAACTCTGGTGCTGGAGAAGACTCCTGCGAGTCCCTTGGACTGCAAGGCAATCAAACTGGTCAGTCCTAGAGGAGATCCACCCTGACTGCTCTTCAGAAGGCCTGATCCTGAAGAGGAAACTCAAATACTTTGACCACCTGATGAGAAGGAAGGACTCCCTGGAGAAGAGCCTCATACTGGGAATGATTGAGGGCAAAAGAAGGGTTCCACTACAAAACCGCGTTCGACTAAACCGCGCTTGACGAAACCGCATAGCTGACGTCATCAACAGCGCGACAACAGCGCGGAGACAGAGGCACGCTGTAAACGCTAAACCTAAAATT